ACAACATAACATAAATCACATGCTAGGACAAAGCAGAACGGCAGGTGAATGTCGGCTGGGATGGGAAACCTGGACACAAGCGGAGGAAATCCGGTGGCTAGTTGGGGAGAAACAAAGAGCTGGAGGGACTTTGGTGGTAGGATGGGGTGTGGGTGGCTACTGGGAAATGAAGTGTCGGTTGTAAGAGGCCGTAAGGAGGCGGGTGTTGGGGTCGAGTGCAGAGGGATGCGGGAAAGATAACAGGCAGCTGGGAGGAGGATTGGTATTGGCGGCTGAGAGTAGGGAGGTGTGGGGAAGGTTACTGGGAAATGAAGTGTCGGTTGTAAGAGGCTGTAAGGAGGCGGGTGTTGGGGTCGAGTGCAGAGGTGCAGAGGGATGCGGGAAAGATAACAGGAAGCTGGGAGGAGGATTTGTATTGGCGGCTGAGAGTAGGGAGGTGTGGGGAAGATATTAGGTGGCAGAAAGGAGGGTAGGGGAAGAGGGATGGAGAGTATCACCCTCTCCGAGCAGGATACAGCGGAGCACCCCCTATCCTTGAATACAGCCCTAAGAGGAAAAACTGGGGATGTCAGCAATCGTCCTGAAAGAAAACACAGAGAAAAACTAATCCTAAACAAACAAAAGACCATATTTATAATAGTAGATAACTAAGGAGGGGGACGCCCATCCCCTTGGACGACCAATCTAACCCAGACCAAGGGTCGGCAAAATCCTTACCCACCTAGCTGAACTGGTCGTCCCAAACTCAATCGGTTCAGTCCAGGTGACCCCCCCAAGCCTCCGCATCAATCTCTCCGGATTGAGGGAGTTCAACCTCATTCGTCGAAGCTTTTGTCAGCGTGTTTCCGGTGGTGGCGTTGTTATAACCTCCTGGGGTTGAAGGGACTTCTACTGCGGTCCAAGAAGCATCTGGATCCCATTGGAGACTACACCATCCCCAAAGCACTTGAAGATTTTCCCTCACTTACGAGCAAACATCAATATCGGTCCAATCTTCTAGGACTGCACGTCACACATATATTGTTGAATCCTCCCAAAATTGCCAATGTTGGCTCAAACTGATCTGAAGTGAGGGTAACCTGAACCTCCCTGTATTGTGGTGGTCATGTCGGTAAGGAATTGATTATGACGTCCTGAAATGCTCTTTACCATGACTATCTCATGTCTAGAATCGACGTCTAAGTCTAATTTTCCTCTATCGTCATCAAAACGGGTCCCACCAACGCTGCTTTGCCTCCAATGTCACCTATGATATTGTGCTCCGCAGATGAGAGAAGGAAGATGCATTTCCCCTCCTTAGTGAATAACATGTGTTTCAGAATCTATCATAATCAATCTGATGATCAAATTACCACGATCTCCCCGACAAAATGTGACAGGCATCCATACATTCCATGTCGCACCACACATGATGTTGCAGTTGGCTCCCAACCGAAAACTCCACTAGGCATTTCTGATCAATGCTAGCCTCGTTCTCCTTCTTCAACCACGTCAAAGAACACGGTTGGGAATGTCTCTGAGTCATGAGGCTCAATTTCTTCACCACCTATATAGACGCCACGTTCCCATTGATCCATCCATCGATTATGAGATTGCATACCTTTCCGTTCACAGTGCAACAAGTGTAGAATATGTTGGGACGAAGCCACTGTGAATCCCTCATATCCTCAATCTGTAGGACCAGTCGAACCACAGGGAACTTGATCTCATTTGGTGAAAAATGATACACCTCACCCTGTTCTTCAGCTGCCTCCTCATCGCAAACTACCTCCACTGCACCTTGCTCGATTAACTTGACTTGTCGAGCAGCTGGAGATGATGTGCCCAAATCAATGGCATCTAAAGCATTTTCGGACTGGGATTTTACTCTTCTTGGGCTTCTTCTCACTCGAGATGGCTTTGTCCACATATGAATCAATTTTTTCAACTCATGAGGCGTGCTCATGTTGATGTCTCCAACTGTGAGTGGCTATCTGAATGATGGTAGTTGTCTGCTCTGTTTCTATTGTCTCTCTACCTTCAGGCCTAAGATCTGGGCATCTCCTAGTGACCAATAGGGTTTTAGCTGCACAATGTTGCTGATAGCGAGCTTCATAACCACTAGATATCGGGTTATGGAATGTTCCTTTAAGTTTGATCAACTCACACCTCATCTACAACTAATCAAACTGCAAAGTGAACTCCTCCACTGATAGGTCTCTCTGATGTAGATTGTAGAGTCTCAGAAATGTATCCTGACGATAATGAAGGGGTAGGTATTTTCTTTGCATATCCTTTCTCATCTTCTCCCACATGGTGATAATGTCATTGCTCTCTCTTTTTCTCTGCCTCTGTAAGTTTTTCCACCACAAGAAGACTCTCTTCTTAAACGTGGCACCCGTTTATCCTTTGTCACATTCTTATACGCGAAGATTCGGTCAACTAACAATAGCCATGCAATAAAATCGTTGAAATTCATACCTCCATAAAACTCCAAAAAATCCACTTTGGTATTGAAATCTCAATGTCCTCCATATATGGCCTCCTCTCTCGGCATCCTCTGATATTGAATTCCGAAGCGTTGGAGCTTGTCTTCCTCAACACTGACATCTTCCCTATGAAACGGATCAGATTCTTCCCCTTCTCCCCTTCGATTCTCTAGATCACTTTCAAGGGTAATCTACCTCTGGTTCCATCATCAATCTCCGCAAGCCTCTGCTGAAGACGACGAAACTCTCATTGTATCTCTTCTCGGGTAGGCTTGGACATATATCTCCTTAGTGACACGGTTAGAGTTTGGGATTTGCGAGAGAAGAAAGGGTATTTAGTGGTAGGAAAAAAAATGGTGGAGATGGCTTAGGTAGGGATGGATGCTAGGAAACCCAATGATATAACTAGGATTATGTTAGCTCTGATACTAATTGGTACCGGAGTTAACCAAAAACCCAACAGAATAATACTTTTATTGCTGAAATTAAAAGGGGTTACAAATAAAGACTCTTAAAACTTGACTAAAACACAACACAACACAAACATCTTGCTTGGGTGGAGCGAGACGGCAGGTGAAGGTCAGATGGGATGGGAAACCTAGACACAAGCAATGGCAACAGAGCGTTAGAAGGAATCTGGTTCTGGGATGGAACGTGGGTGGCTACTGGAATTAGAAGTGTCAGTTATAAGCGGCGATAAGGAGGTAGACGTTGGGGCTGGAAACAGAGGGATGCGAGGAAGATAAAAGGCGGTGGGGAGGAGGACTAGGATTGGCGGCTAGGAATCGGAAGGTGTGGGAAAAATAATAGGCGGCAGGAAGGAAGGCAAAGGAAAAGGAATCACTAGAGATAGTCACCACTATGGAGCAGGATATAATCAGAGCATCAAATACAACCCTGAGAGAGAGAACTGGGGACGCCAGAGACTATCCTGACAGAAAACACATTGAAAAACTAACTCTAAATAAAGAAAAGAGCATATTTATAATAGTAGATAACTAAGGAAGGGGAGACCCCTCCCATTGGGCAGTCAACCTAGCTCAAACCAAGGGCTGGCCGATCCTTGCCCACCTAGCTAAATTAGTTAGCCCTAACTTAGCCGGTTTAGTCCAGGTGAGCCCCCCAAGCACCCGTGTCAAATAGTATCTTATTTGTCAAAATAAAGACAATATTCCCTATAAATAGAAAATGCATCCCAATCATGTAAAGGAGCAAAAACATTTGCAAACCTTTGAAATGTGATTTATAGTATAGTTTTGAAGCTTACCTGAGTTATACAGTGCATAAATAAACATTGCCATTCAAAGCATCAAGATATGCTAAATCTCAAGATTTTATATAAAAGTAGGCACATGGATCATGCTAAATTGTGGGTAATTTCAGTTTGTTGTGTATAGGTGCAAAAAAGGTAGCTAAAAAGAAACATATTAAACGATTGAATTGATTGCATATGTTATCAAAATTTTCATAAATACATCTAAAGATACATTGTTTAGAAATCTATTGTCCAATCCTGTGCAAGCACCGTCCTTTGGGACTATTTCCACCCCTCGGATAGTGTATCTTAATGCAAAGGTCACTGGTAAGAGCCCTCCAGGATGAAAGACTTCTCAAACGTTATGAACTCACCAATGAGAATCAAGCTTTAGTATGTATTACAAATGCAACAATAACTCCTTTACTAATTTAATATAATAACTAGCTCCATTTCTCTTGCAATCTCACTCTTCAACTTGAGTTTAAACTAAAAGAACTTGATGTCTTTCCTGGATTATTCGACGGCCTAAAAAGAAAAGACTGGTCATCCCAACTTAAGAGTTAGGTGGCCTTCTTCAACCACATCTCCTTCAGCTTATTACGTTCAAGAAGATGAGCAGCTCCTTGGATAGAGATAACAATAGCAGGGAGGCCAGGGAGCTTTAATGGCTGAAGATAAAGAGGTTGAGAGCTACAAATAAAATCGAATGTGACTGTCCAAGAATTAACCTAGAAGAGGGGGCTGGCAAGATCGATGCTCTCAATGAAAATGGTTGAGCCAAAGACATAAGAGAAGTGGATTAGAAGGTCTTGAAATTTGCAAAGGAATAGTGTGTGCCTATGGGCATACACCCAAATGGATGAAACAATGTGTAAAATTTAGGAGGAACTTTCACAAAGGGAAAAACTCTAATATTTCATACATCTAATACAAGAAAATAACGACTATATATTCAGTTCAGACTAACCCTAATACAATTGGAGAGAAACTCAAATCGTCATGATAAGAAAGAAAGAAAGAAAATACAATAATGGATAATTAAGGGAGCATAATAACTCCTCCGCAAATAACAGCTGGCCCATGTTGGCTCAACCCTAGTACAATAATGGTCAGCCTCCCTTCCCTAATTTTTTCTTGCTTCCAGTCGCAGCCCCACTATTGTCCAACATGTTGTGCCACCGCAAACCCCACCGCATTCTCCATATCGAACAACACCAACCTAATGCCCTCCTCTAGGCCGCAGATCCCCCCATCTTCTATTCCTTCTCGGATTGCCTGCACCCCCCTTTTCCCCTCACACCACCACCACACCCACTTCCCTACCATCCCCACGGCTGTCCCACCGGCCTCCATAGGAATTGATCGTTAATGTGCCATTTTTCTATTCTCGTATGTGTCTTGAAAGTAAACCGTTGAATCTTTTCTGATAACTCTAGTATTACCTGATCGCAGTGCTCACGAATCTTGAATTTCCACCAGAGAGAAAAACTCTAGCGGCAGGACGAGGACCGAGTGAGAGCCCGCTAGAGCTATGGATGATTTCCATTAGAAAGAGAAAGTTAAATCTGAGAGAACAATTGCGACTTGAAAGTGCAAGGAAGTCTGTGGGTAGGAGCATAGGGAAGCCAGTGGCTAGGAATCGCATGGAAGTATATGGGCTACCTAACGGCTGCAGAGAGAGCGAGAGAACAATTGCGACTGGAAAGTGCAAGGAAGTTTGTGGGTGGGAGCATAGGGAAGCCAGTGGCTAGGAATCGTATGGAAGTATATGGGCTACCTAACGGCTGCAGAGAGGAGTATTACAGTTAGAAAGAGGGGCAAATGACCTATGGTTTCCTAAACGGAGGAAACCGTGGGTCGGCCCATGTGGTCCACAGATGCATACATATGATCACAACGGAATAGCCATTAGGAAGAATTATTGTAATTATATTTCCAAGTTCCTAGGGAGCCGAGGAAACCGTGGGCCGGCCCATGTGGTCCACAAATGCATACATATGATCACAACGGAATAGCCATTAGAAATAATTATTGTAATTATATTTCCAAGTTCCTAGGGAGCAGCAGGGAAGTCAAAAACTTACTATCTTGTAAGAAATTCTACAAATAAAGTTATATCCATTTGAAAAATAATAAAGTTGCTAGAACAAAAAAATTGTCCATTATGATTTTGGAACTCCCAAGCTCCATTATCAAGAGTCGCTTAATATACCATATCTTTCTTTCATGGTTGCAGACTCGTTAATAATTTATTCATTAAACGTTGTGCACAGGTCCCATTCTAAGAGAAGCAAATTTCATTTTGATATATTGCATACTGATATTCTCTTACTCATTAAAAGTGAACAATTCCATTTCATAACAAACTATAAGCATACAATCATAACTCAAATGAAACCAGCATATCTTTATCTGCCGTTCATACAGTTTCTGTAGATAATGCCAAATGAAACATTTTTCTCTGCTGATATATAAAAATTCATAGATTAAGTACCTCCTCATCATACTTTCTCCAAAGTCTTGATAAGTCAATTACAGACTTGGAGCATATTGGACATGTATATCTGTATGATGGGATTCACAGAAAGAATATGAATAAATTTAAAAATAAAATCATAAGTTGCAAACACAAAATAAGCAAAGATAGCATGAAGTTTACTGTTCGTGTTCTATCATGTCATCATGACACTCTGAATGCATTGTATGCCCGCATTTCAAGACTCTTGTCTCTCTTAAGGAGTCAAATAAATACTGTAGTAACAGTTGATGACATTAACATATTTCCAGTGTTCAAAATAAAGAAGCATTTCAGTACCAACCTCAAAACATATTGGGCAGTGATGCTTCATTGAGTTCTCAACACATGAGTGCTTATTCCGCAAGTGAACAGAGTAGCATGATCCTAAAATTTTAAAAACTTTCACATTATATTTATTTTGATATAACATTATAAAATCAAAATTGATCTTCTCTTACAAATAATGAAGAAATTTCTATGAAAATATTTGCATTATGTAATCTTAAATTAACATATGAGTTGAGAAAAAAGATATAATATAAAAGTATTCTCAAGAATTGTATGCATCTAAATTATTTCAGATGAGAATAAATAATCAATGTTCAAAAAAATTAACATTATATTTATTTGATGCAACACTGTATAGATAATAATGGTCTTGTTTTGAAGATAATTAAGAAGTTTCTTAAAAATACTATATATTTTTTAAAAATTATTGAAAAAAAGAGAAATGCAAGGATCCGTTATTCTATTAGCTATCTTACATTGATGAATCATAACCGTAAATAAAGTATAGATTCATCTGAAGAGAAGCGCCTTGAGCACTTATTTTCCTAAATTCCCTTATTTATAGTTTGACCATTAAAATCCATCAGTATTTAAAACTATGCAATACAAATGAGATGCACAATACATTTTATTTCACTAGAACATACCCAAAGATTGACAGAATTATGAAGTAAAACAACAGCATATTTTCCCGTGGAAGCAAAAAAGTACAAAAAATAATTCACCTATATAAAACATTTAACATTGTATTAGATGGTTTGGTCACAATAAACGTCGGCCATCTGATGATCCGGTTAGGTGTGTTGATGATTTAGATTCGACTTATGTTAAGGTAGAGGTAGACCTAAGATGTCCTAGGCATGTTGTAAAAAAATGATCTTAATTCATTGGAAATTAAATGAAAATATGACACTCAATAGAACACAATGAAGAAAAAGGATTCACTTAGCCGACCCCAAGGCTTCTTCTTGTTGTTGTTGTATATAAAACACAAGGAAATTTATCATTCCAAGCTTTAGAGTGAATTAGTGCATACCACACTTTTTACAGTGGAAAAAGTTCTCCTTGCCACCGACTCTGCACAAGGATTAGTTCGATTTAGATCCAACTATAACTCCAACAAACATTACAAAAAAATTTAATAATTAAAAAAGAAAATAGATTCCCGGACCTGCATATACCACAGTCATCACAATGATACAGCCCCTTCTCAATCTGCAAAAAGAAAAGCAGATCGGACCTCAAATTCCCACAAATAGAAATTAAATTGTTAGCTAAAGCTCGTCTGCAAGCTCACGTCATCATCATAGAATTTGCACAGTTTACAGAAGTACTCCCCCATATTGACCCCGCAATTCAAACACACTTGGGCAACCTATCAAACAGAAAAATGTTCATAAATAACTAAAAGCAGTTTAAACAGCCATAATGAACGCGATCAATAGATGCATACCGGCTGTTCAGTATCACACACTAGGCAAATTACCTGCAAAACATCGAATCCAAACACAAAACTGGTGGATCTCAGCTTCAGAACCAAAAAAGTAACAACAAAATTAAAAAAAAAAAAAACAAAGATATCAAAATCCCACCGTTTTAACATCCTGCCTACACAATTCGTGTCGATCTTTCTGCACAGCAACGGATCAACAAAAACCAAAAGAAAAAGAAAATCAAACAAATCACAAAAACATTCTTCATAACGACACCATCGCCTGAATCAACGCCAAGGGGAAGACTGTGCATACAGTAGATTCGTTGTGGCAATGGCGACAGCTAAAGATCTCATTACAGCAGGGCGCGCGAATCCTGCACCTCCTCCGGTAGTGCTCGCATCTGAATTCAACCAGTTCATCACGTAAACAAAACTTGTATCCACAAACCTCCAATAGATGACTATAAATCAGGATCGAGCAAATCAGAAACTCGCAGGAAAGAAATCGGTCATCACCCGTAACCCATCTTGCCATACTCCAGGCGAGAATCGTCGACGGATGTATCCATATCTGATAAACCAAAAAAACGCGAAGCTTCACAGCCGCAGACAAGGAGATCAAGACCAGTAAACGGTCAGAAGAAAGCATTTTATATATTTCTATAAAGGGAGTTGGAGATTGGCTCGCTGATCGCTATCTCCTCCTCCCCATTGCCAGGAAGCGGACGCAGCCTGCACGCAAGAGACAAGGAAGCCATTATTTCCCCCAGGGGTAATAATTAAACACGGTAATTTTACGGATCAAACCTTACGTGTAATTACAATATTTATATTCGAACGAAGGTTCGCCAATATATGCAATTGTTCTTATGTACAGGTGTGCTCATCTCTGATTTGTCGTTTTACATGGCATCATCTTGCTTATCAGTCGGTAGAATAGTATTGGCTATAAAGAAAGACACGAGAATATTTGCATGATGTTGTATTATTGAAATGATACCATTGATTATGTGAGTCAATGATAATAAATGGGGATAATTACATAAAGATCACATAAAATATTGATATTTATAAATTAATCTCTATGCGATTTTTTTGAACTGCAGAATGAAGCTGATGTATTTATGTGTGTCACGATCAAACTATCGAGAATTTGATAAAAGAATGAACGTTATTGGTTGGGGTTTTATCATGAATTTTGATATTTGAGTGAGAATTTGAAAAATGGATGTAAGATGGAGGTGGATTTGTAGATAAGAAGCTTATGGCGGTCTGTATGTAATGAACAACATCAATTCTCTATTATGAGAGATGTGTTTAAAATTGTTGATTTCATCAAAGTTTGTTAAGAGTTTGGCCGAAATTAAATCAAGATTTGAATATAATTTAAATATTGATTGAATGTGATATAGATATGGTTCGAACTTATTATTTTACAAGCTCAATCTCTTTATAAATGACCAGTTGAGCTCTCTTTAAATATGAGGTTCACAATTTTTTTAGGGTGAAGATGAAGCGTGTGTCACATATTTTGAGGTGTGTGCTTAATTCGCATAAAAGGTTATGAGGCGAACGCCTCAAGGCAAGGAAATTCTTGAAATGTGCCAAGGCTAGCAGTAAGGTGTGTCCAATGTTGCATAATCTTAAGCTTTCCACAATAAAAAAATAAATAAATATTTTAAGTTTTAGTATTATGGACTTGTATGAAAAAATTTTATAATTTTAATTTTAAATTCTAATATTTAAATTTTGAGTAAAATTCATTATAATCATAAGGCATTAATTAATGGCAGATCATCGTAAAGCTTGTCAGAGGATCACGAAGCCCTCATTTGCATTTTAAGCCAGCCACTCTCCCTTTTAGACAATTTTCGGCAATCAACACATTGTAAAATAGTAATAAGCCTCTGATTAATTTGAATCTATGGCTTGCCAACGAGATACACTTATCGATAATCTATGGGCTGACAACATTTCAGACAGCTTTTGTGTGTGATGATTTGTCTATGGGTAACATCTATGGGTTTATGTCAAAAGCATAATCATTGGTTGGTCATCGGTTAATAGTCGATTACGTGACTAGCAGATGCAAGCTGTCAATTAATGCAAAAAATAAATAAATAAATAAATAAATACATCAATAGCTATCAGTTAAATTCGTCAGTCTAATAGCTGACGGAACAATCGTCTCTTTCTCGATATCCCATAGCTTGACCATTGGAAGCCCATAAAAAATCTCCACAAATATAAAAATAAAGAGCCTTATTTCTTTCATTGTAGTTTTCACACCTACAATCATGACACAGATACAAATTGAATTGTATATTTTTTAATCTAATTTACCAATTCAAGTTGCTATTGAACACAAACCATGTGAATGCATGCACAAATTATATGTAGAAATAATCACTTCATTGAACCAAAAAATTAAACTATATGTACATAATAATAATAATATGTTTCAAAAACTTAAAAAAAAAGAATAATCCTAATCATCTTTAGTGTCCTCCTCCTTGACCTTCTCCTCTATTGGATGTTTCTCTCTCTGGTGTTCCTGATGCCATATTGCATCTAATTTCATCTGTATCGTTTCCTCCAAATTAGACTTCATCTCAACAAGCTTGGCAACAAATTGGGTCTCTATATCATTGAATGTGATAACTTGCCTACGAACCTCATCCTTTTGAAAGGTAGAAGTAGATGCACGAAACACACTAAAGGAGAAATTAGCATTATACGCTTGTTCCTGTAAACCCAATCCATAAAACCTTCCTTTCTTCTTGCCCCCAATAATTTCTCTCCACAACTCATAGTCGAACTTATTGCAGCCTGAGATCTTAAGTCCTTCTGTGAGCTTAGACGGTGTCTTCTTCAACGGCTTGAAAGTTTATAACAAAAAATTATGAAAGAAAGTTAGAGAAAAAATTAAATTCAAGATTAATTTGAATTGTATAACAAGTACAATCACTTACATATGTCGTCTAAGATTTACTATCAACTCATGTTTTGTTTGAATGCCACTTATCAGTACGCGCATGTAGCTTGGCGCCCCATCATTAGAGCCTGTTAAGTTAAGAAAATAGTTATTAAATAATTATTTTATAGTAAGATTTAATGCACAAATAAACTCTTGTTATGTCCATCTTTGTCTCCATGTATTTCTATGTGTGTGTGTGTGGGTGTGAGTGTGTGGGTGTGTGTGTGTGTGTGTGCGCGCGCGCGCGCGTGCGTGCGCGCGCGCGCGCATTTGTCTCTCTATGTATCTATATATGTATATGTATATGACATGATACATCATTAATAAATTTTGGAGCTTTTTTTTAGTAAGAAACTTTCAAATTTAAATTAAAAATATCCAAAACTTTGGTTTTAACAAACTTACAGTCAAACCGACTGGCTCAATAAGACAAACCCAAAGAGACTAGAATTAATCTAATCCGAGTCAAATCGGGTTAGGATCAAGCAATTAAACCATTTTTAAAAAAAATTTGGTTGGTCAATTGGAGGGTCAAATGGATTCCAAATCTAATGTGCTTATAATCAAATTGAGTGTCTCGATGAGACAAATCTAACAAGTCCAAGATCACTCAATTCTGGTATCATTGAGCACTCAAATATTCATAAAATTGTATCTGATTACAGGAATGTCATTGGGTCATTCGATGCAGTGGTCTAGATTCTTGTCTTATTTATAGAAGATGCACTCCTAAAATCTATAAATAGAGTCGTGCTCCCATCATGAATGGAGGGCTAGACATATTCCTGAAGGAGAAGAGAGGGAGTCACATTTCAATGTTTTTTTAGGTCTAAGATTCGATGAACACTTACTACTTCTGCAGCCACTAACGACAATCAACCACCGCTCCCTAGTCACTGCCTAGCAATGCCAATCACCCCCTATTTGTTTCCATCAATGGGTCCTGCAAAGTAAGAATGAACATTACAACGAAGAAACTTGCAGAATCATAACATATGTTGCAGTATAGTGACACATCTCGAAGACAGTGTAAAGACACAACCCAAATATGATATAACGAAGCACCCTGAATCAAGTGTAACAACATACCTCTAATATGTGGTAATAATATAATATCAAATTGATGATCTAATGATAAATCCCAATAGTAACGACTTACAACCGCTATACTTAGGATATGATCACTTTCTTTGGACTCCTGAAGTTCTCTCCTCACAATTTCCCCCTACTATCTTAGTGGCCAACTAACGTCCTTGCAACTCCCAACTCTAGCATCTTTGGCCTACTGATGTTATTGCAGTTCACCATTATGACCTTTGCAACTCACTTCTCACGTAGCTCTAAACCCTGGCTTTTGTGGCCCATGGATGTTACTATTGCTCAACACATGACCTATGTGACAAATTACAGCCTATGTGACTCACAACTCATGTAGTTTGTAGTTCCCAAATCTAGCCTATGTGATCTAAAAAAAAGTATTGCAGCCAAACTATGATCTATTTGGCCAGCTACAACTTACTTGGCTCACATCTCATGCAACTCTCAACTCTACCCTTTATGGCCTATGAATGCTAGTGTGCTTCCTACAATGACTTACATGGTCGACTGCTCTCATTACAACCTTGTGCTATGGCCTTTGTGGCCAACCGACACTCTTGAAACTACCAAAAATGGCTTATATGGCTAACTACTATTATAAATTTCAAATAAACCTCTACAATAAGCTGAGGCTATTATAACCACAAAAAAAAAAAAAACTATATTTGTTCTTGTCCATATATGGCTATTAAAGCCAGACCATTATTGTTCTTCTACAATTTCATTTTTTTCTTTTTTGGGAGAAGAGCTTTTTTGGGAGAAGAGTTTACCTACACACTCACAATTACATAGTCAATTACTTCGATTGGGAAATGCCTCACAATTTTTTTCCTTATTAGGATTTTCCACTTAAAAATTATGGTGTTTCGTTCATGCTACATTTCCTTATGTGTGTGTTTTGGTTCCTTGTGTAGTATTATTTATCTTCTCTCTCAATGCCAACATAATCTTTTTTGGGAGAAGAGTTGACCTACGCACTCACAATTACATAGTCAATTACTTCGATTGGGCAAAGCCTCACAATTTTTTTCCTTATTAGGATTTTCCACTTAAAAATTATGGTGTTTCGTTCATGCTACATTTCCTTATGTGTGTGTTTTGGTTCCTTGTGTAGTATTATTTATCTTCTCTCTCAATGCCAACATAATGAACTTGTATTTCATTTACCTTCATGCAAATAAGGGGACAAATCACTCTCCAAAAAAGTCAGCAAAATTCTCCCAAATTATCATCATTTTTGGTATGTTCCCATGCATATTATGATGTTTCTTAGACCATTATTTTTTGGCTTCTCCATCAAGTACAAATGTACAGGTTGTATTCTCGTTTTATCTAGACATGTCCTACTATATAATATATTTTATATCTACATCAACCAATTCTTTACTTCGATTGGATCTTTAGTTCCCTTGAATAATGGTAGTTGTAGATCTTGAAATTACTATTATGATATTTCTCAGACCATCATTTTTTCGCTTCTCCATCAAGTGCAAATGTACAGGTGGTATTCTCCTTTTATCTAGACATGTCCTGCTATATAATATATTTTATATCTTCATCAACCAATTCTTTACTTCAATTGGATCTTTAATTCCCTTGAATAATGGTAGTTGTAGATCTTGAAATTACTTCAAATACTTATCCACAATAAGTCTCACTTCTATTGAACTGCAATTTGGAATCCTAAATTAGTTGCATTATTACCGTCATCATCTTAGTCAAATAGTTAATGTTTATAATGATATTAAGTGATAATTCTGCATTTCCGATCACACTTTATTCTCATTCATCACCCAAAGTAAAATATCATGTAATTAGAATTAACTTAAACTGTTAACATTTTCTTATCGTTATTTTTTGTAATTATCCTACAAGCTCTATCATCTACATGATATTACATAATCTTACGTCTTATTTTCTCATACCACTTTCATCATTACACGACTCCTACAATAATTTTAAGAAGTCACTAAAAAAGTAAATCGATATAGTTATAATTTTATCTTCTTATTTATTAATCTTATATTATATATATATTTCTCTCCTCTATTACTAGTTTATATTCCAAAATTTTAACCTGATAATATTAGTTTAAATCATAATGAACTATCAACAATAATGAATACTCATGCTTTTAAACTACAATAGTATAACAAAAGAGAAATAAAATGAATGCTAGTTAAATATATTTAATGAGTGTAAAAGTAATTAACAACTTAGTTATCAATTGTAACAATTTAGTAAAGTTTAAAGCATTAAATGGTATACTATAATAACTTTTCTATATCTATATTGTTCATATCCGTCATATTAGCATCGTAAAAATTGTATTATTTAATATAGTTCAATGTTTATATCATTTTTTTAAATTATGTGCACAAATATTTTAGCATTCCCAATTAGTATCGTAAAATAGTAAATTTCATCATATTCAACAAACAAATACAACCACACTATATAAGTTATTTTATTTGCATCATACATATCATTTCATATCTTTTTATTATAATTAATATGAGTATAAGTTTGCACATCTATGACATTCATTTTTATATGACCAATTTGATTAATAGAAATATTATACTTGTAATATTAAGATATCTAAACAAATCTCATTCTAAAGCAAGAGATCTAGAAGAAATATAATATTATTATCATAATTTAATAGAATACCCACTTTAAGAACCTTTATGTTCAATCACATTATCCTTCATAAAATACCTACAGTCAAATATACAATATTTTATTGTTAATTTTGTTAAATTATAATTTAACCTCACTTTTTAATAACAACCTTGCTCTTAGTTTATTTAATTAAACAATCTATTATTACATATAATTGAAATATGCTTAATTTAGTTTTACATTAATTTAAACATTTTAAATTTTTAGTTCATTAATAATTAAAACTATAATTTGATTATATATGTATAATGATTTAATTAGTTAGGGGTAAACATTTATCTTATTATTATATTTAAAATTTATCAGTTAAATTTTTAATTAAAAATTTGTGCATTAACTTTTAATAATTTTAATCCTAATAATAATAATTAAATAATTATTATTATTATTTAAATCTTTTAAAATTTTATAATATATTTATCACATTACATTATATATCTTAGACTAATAAAAATAATATTTTGAATATTTTTTTTTTCTTAAACATAACCCTAACCCCAACGACAACGAGGGTTCACGCTCGACCCCGTCTCCACCCTTCTCCCTGTTTCGTGTCTCTATCCCCAGCGGAGAGATGGGAATAGGTTGGAGAGATATATTTTACAGGTCTTTTGCCTTACTTTTTATAAGAGGTACAAATAAGCTTTTAAAGGTAATTCCCAATGAGAAAATCGTGTGAGGGAGAGATCTTTGGCGGGAGAATATTGGGGAAGCAAAATAATTTGCAAATATCCCTTTCCTCATGTGCCAACCTAAAGATGGCAGGATCCGTAAAAGGGAACAGGGGAGGCGGGATACATGAGGAAGAAGCGGGAAGCTTTAATTAGCAAGTTAATTAATCACATAATTAACACCTTAATGTCTTTCAAAAAGAAGAAGTGCACAGGGCTCCACATCCTCAACAATTCTCCCATTTGGAGACCGGGACACTGACTGCACTATCCGTTGACTGCTCTAACTGCTGGCTGTATCGATCTTTTTCCTCAAACGTGATATCCTCCACCTCTGCAACTCAAAACCCTTGTCTTCAAGCTAGAAGACCAACTGAAGTCGAACACAACTTCAGTTTCTCAAGTGTGACGCCTTTGGTCAACATAATATTTTAAATAATAATAATCATTATTATTATTATTTAAATCTTTTAAAATCTTATAATATATTTATCACATTACATAATATATCTTAGACTAATAAAAAATTACTAATAAAAATAATATTTTGAATATATTTTTTTTCTTAAACATAACCCTAACCCCAACGAGGGTTCACGCTCGACCCCGTCTCCACCCTTCTCCCTGTTTCGTGGCTCTATACCGCGCGCCGCTCAGGCTCGAGATCACCCCCTCGCTGCCCCTGCTTGCTTCGTCGCCTTCGTAGGCGCTCGCTGCTCTCTCGCGCTCGCTTTCTGCGTCGTCGCCCGCCGTTGAGCCGTTCGGCGACGCCGAACGCAGGTTCTCCTCTGGTTACGTTCAATCGATCTCCCATGCTCACCTGTTCTCTACTGCAAGTACTGGAGGTTCGTCCGCATTCGTCTTCGTCTTCGTCGCTGCTTCGAACAGGCTAGAGGTACCCTCGCTCCTCTTATAAGCACGGACCGAACTTCCTGCTCGTTTCATCTCCTCCTATTTGTTCTCCATCTCCAGACCGTAGGCTTCAAATTGCCAAACGTTACACATAACGTTTTTAGCTAAAGAAAGGAGGGTGGAACTATGGCAGCTGCAAATCAGATGTTCAGTGGCAACATGAAGGTAATTTGTAGTCTTAAGAATACAATTTTAATTGAAATGATTCTGTGAAATTTGCTCTTTAGAATGCGGTTTCTTGCATAAATGTTCTGTGTATGATAATAAGTATATATTGTTTTATACTTTTTGCACTTCATTCTGAAAAATATTTGATTTTATCCTCTTTGCAATTCTTTTGTGTGTTTTCTTTAACTAAAGCATAATTTAAAGTAAAACGTGTTGCAAATTTGAAGTGAATGTTAGGTTGGCAAAATCTTGATCTGGATAATTGCCATCAAATTGAGTATTATGCCTTGTTATGGCGTTAATTCTATTAGCTGTTGGTTATCTTTTTGTTTGAGATATTCTTATGATGCACTGATGTATTGCTTGGTCATTTGCATATTTTCCTTGTCGAGATTTTAGTTATTTTTTGTTTTAATCAAATGTCAGAACTTAATAATATATGAATTGTATTCTATTCCACTTTAATTTTTTTAGTTATTTTTTACCCATTTTATAAAGATAACCTGGCTGATGAAATCATCTCTTTTGTTTTGGGAGGATATTTTACTTTTACAACACACTATAATAGCATTCATAAATATGCTGTTGAAAGAGGCTAAATGCCTTAAATCCAACAAAGGGACATGCTTATGCATATCGGCTTGAGCATTTTTAGCATTTTTTATGATTTTTTTTTTCCTGTAAGAGCTTTTCAGCAAGTATATTTTAAGCCACAATTTTTATTGAATTTTTCTGCAAAAACTTTTTTAATGTAAATTATGAGAGTTTTCCATTCAAAAAGGCCCTATTTTTTGTTTTGCTTTTTTTACCTATCATAAAGGAAGACAAATGCAAAAACCAAATGAAATTTCAATCTTAACACAACATTTAAATGTGCAACGGTCTCAAGTTAAAGGTTATTTGTACTAGTTTCAATATTTTAAAATATTAGTCATACTCGCCTTTTTATAAAAGAATGTAATTGTGATATGTTCCTTGTTTAAATCAAACATTCAAGATTAACTCTACGTATGTTATTATAATGAGACTGATGGATATGTATGCCAACTGTATTTCAAGATAAAGTGAATATAATAAAGACTCGAATTCAATTTGGCCGTACTTGCTTAAGATGACAAACAAGTCTTCTAAATGATTAACATGAATGGATCCTAGTTCTTATTTTATTTATGTTAACCTATTGTGCTTGATTGCACCTGACTGGTGTCTCCACTTACACCTTTGTAATACCAGTGTAACACTCAAGAAGCACTATCGTGGTTGCCTGTTCCCTGTCAAATTGCCTTGACCAACAAAACCGCTATTGATCAATGGTGGGTAAGTCCAAGGGTCTACTACAACCTCTTCTTTTCTTATCCTACCTTAAGAGCAGCAAATACTTGAAAGGAAAACAAATTTTTTGAATTTCTTATTCAATGAATGAATAACTATAAGTGTTAGGGTCTTTAAGTAGACCCCAAGCCCTAAAACAAATACAGTGAAATGTATAAAATAACCCTAACTCATAAAAACTGCTAGTTTCTTTTTAGAAAAGATATAAATACAATCCTACTCACGCATCATGATTGTAACGTGCTCTCTAGATTGGAGAAGACTTGGACTGGAAGCCTTAAACTATTTCTTGTCCATATTAGAGTTAGAGATTAAGTACATTAAAAGTTGTACATATGTTTAAATGTTCGAAATAGTCAATTTTATAAACATTCCCACCAATGTATTTTATAACCTGAAGTTGAACCATAGCCTTAGGTTTGAACTTTGTAAAAGAGCTTGTTTGAAATTGTTTTTTTAATAAATTCAAACACATTTGCTTTTTTTAAATGAGATCGAGTTACAAAACTTGTTAGCTTGCTGACTTTACTTTTTGCTTCCTCAACTATAATTCATACTAGTTGATGGCATCTTTTACCTTGCTAGCATGCTTATTCACATCCATATTAAATTCTATTGCAGTGGACTTCAAGATAAGCTCTTATGGAGTAGTGGAATTTTGTTCATTCAAATCTGTTGTAAGCAAATTTCTCTTGGGATAGACTAAGGTCTTATTACGTGAAATTCTGGCCAACAAAATTCCACAAGTTCCATGAATATGAATCATAACTTTTTTCTGTTTGTTTCTTTGTCGATGAGCTTTCAAGCTAATTGAAGTTATGTTCCCATTTTCCGCTCTGATGTTCTCCAAAAATGACTCAAAATTAGATATACTGATAAGAGGTTATAGATTTGAGAACACCATTAAAACGTATGATCTCGTAGAAGTAAAGATTGGCAAGGTCGAAGCATAATACGTCTTTGGAAAAGCAAGAAAGTGCAGATTTTTGGAGAAGCAGTTAATCTCCATCATAATCAAATCTTTAGGTCGCTATAAATTTGGAAAACTTAGAACAAAATCAATACATCTGTGCATAACGACTCAAGAATCAAAAGGGAAGCATACATCTCTGTTTTTTGGTTTCTTAATTTGGCTATATATTGAATCGGCATCCCTTGACAAGTTGATTAACATATTTCTATAAAAATGGTGAACCGAAGTTATCTTGTATAAGGGTTGTCCTGTTTTATCCACCCACAATGGTCTGCAAGATCTTCTCCATGACACTCAAATAGCGTAGCATTTCATAGCATCCATTGAGGAATGTGAAATTTGTTTAAAAACCTAACATCCATCTTGAAGCTGAATGCTAAAAATTACTTTTCTAGCATGTCTGGCGTTTCTTGTCAATACCCCATATTTGGAATTTTGTATATCTCAAGAACAATCACTTTTGACTAGAGTATACTTAGAGGAGCATGTTGGCAGATAAAGGCATTAACAACTAGGTTATGGACAGCTGATTTGAACTTTTGGATGTAATTTAATGTTGAAAGGAATTCAACCCACATGACAACCTGATTTGTAAGCTTACTTTGTCTATGTAGTCGCTTGAGGGATGTATGTAAAAAAATAAGATAAACTTCTTAGCTTGGGGGTATTGATTCCTATGTTAGCTTTGTCTAGTCACCTTATTCAATGAAAACTCAATGAGCATATCCAATCTTTGTATTGAAAAGCAGCATTTGATAGCGATCTTATTCATGACTTGACTATTAATGCACATTCACAAAGCATCATTTTTGTTTGGAACTAGCAAGATGAATAGAACTTGAGGATTGGCACTTTTCCATAGCAGTTCTCTGGCAATGATGCTATAATTCTTCATACTCTTCAGGCTGCATTTGACACGTAGGTCTGTGAAGGATGAGAACCTCGGAATGAAGTATACTGTATGCTATTCATCACACATAGGAGGTAAACCTATAAGAGTTTTGGTTGACAACGCGTCCAAGTACTGCTATTAATTGAGGTAAACCTACAAGACTGTTTTTCGAGGGAAGAGGAAGAATCGTTGATGTGAAGTAGAGAGCCGAAGCCTATTGAAAACCTAAGTTACGAGTTAGATTAATTGAGGTCGGGGAAACTAGCAAGCAAATTAAGTGGAGGATTTAGCTAATAAAGAGTTTTCCTATTAATTGAGGTGAGTAATTATGTTTCAAAATTCCAGTAATTATTTTTATTTCAAATTGGCTGTTTGATTTAATGTATTCCCTAGTTTAGCAATAAATTCGTCATATTGTAAGACAGTATAGATGTGCATGTTAAATATAGTTGCATAATAATTTAGTTTAGATTGATATTAGATCATTGCATGATTTTAGTAGAGGTCTACATATAAGTTTATCGCTTATAATCACATACATATGTCACATTATTATTTAACCGCTAGAATTTTAGTAAATGTGCATATGTTAGTTGATTTTATGACTTATAGATATAGTAAGTTTGTATTATTCATCAATATATAGAAGTAAATGTTTCATAGAAGATAATGCATGATATGAAAGAATGAATAAATTATATATGAATGTTGTATGTGCATGTAGAGGAGTTTACCCCTAATGGTATAAACAGGGGACACCAGTGTATCCGCGCGCGTAGAGTTTTGCCTACTACCCCAAATAATTGTGCTAGTTAGTTCACTAACTGCTGCGCCGATGAGATAGTATAGGCCAAAAGTGAGTAGACTAGAGCTTACCTCCCCAGACAATTGTGATGTTTATATTTTTAACCGATTTTCTAACGAAATAGTATCGGTCTAGGGTAAGTAAGGTCTCTCTACCATAGACAATTATGATGTGTAGATTGCTAACCGTTGTGCCGATGGGGCAATATCGGATAAGGGTGTGCTAGGTTGTTTTGACGGTGATCCTCAAAGCAGATTGATGTTTATGTAAAAAGTATTAAGTAAAAATAAAGTTAAATAGCAAAGGTTATTGGTTCATGTATTCATATATTAAAAGATTTCATATGAAAGACTAGCTGATCCATATAATAATCTGTTTTTAGTGCATATTTTAGAAACATTTTATGTATGTTTTTGATGATATTGCATTTTAAAGAAATATATTTTGCATGTTTTTGGTTTCAGGTACATGAAATTGACATTTAGTGAAAATGAGGGCAAAATGGAGCAAAATTGAGGATTTTTTGTGGCGCTATGGCGCCATATACGAGTGAGATGGGCGCTATAGCGCCCCATACTGATGCTATAGCGCCAGTAACTACTTTTCTAGAAGATCCATTGAATTTAGACGAATTTTGGAGGGGTTTTTGAAACAACCCTTGGTTATTTTCTATTTTCTATTACTTGATAAAACCGCCATAAGATCTGCCGTCGTCCTCTCCTTTATGTTAAATGAGAAGGATTTGACCAAATTTAGAGGCCTTTTGGAGCCTCAAAACTTTAATTGGGCAGCAATAAGCCCAGAACCCGTCGATCCAACAAATTCCAATCAGTCTCTTCCATCTATTAATCAGAGTTTTTATATTTTGTGTTCAAGTGTAAATGTGAGGGTATTTTAGTGTGAAAAACTTTGGAGATTGCTTAAAGGAAACACCAAAAATTTACTTGGAGAGAAGACATAAAGTACTTTGTATTTGTTGTGAATAACGACGACAA